TGTGTGTGTGTGTTGGTGTGTGTGTGTGTGGTGTGTGTGTGTGTGCACCAGGAGGGCGTCGTTCAGAGTCTTCAAAGACGACTCCCCTATAGACAAGACCAGCAGACAGCAGACGAAGACAGAGCAAGACCAGCAACCACCACAACACAACACACGAGGCAAGAGGAAATACAGTCTCAACCTTTATATATTATTACTTCTTCACAACGTCACCTGCTAATCTCTCTGTTTTCTCTTCACCACCTTCTATTCCTTTTCTCTAGCTATACTAATTATATACAACAAACTAGAGAATTGAAGGGGGAATGGAAGTCTCAGTCACACCACCAACACACACACACACACACACACACAACACACCACACACACACACAACACGACATGTTGCAATCTGGAAGTCGTGCCTTCAGGAAAGAGGGGAGTCGAGTCTTCCAGACGTCCGTGCAGCGAGTCACCGGCTCTGCACTGTAGGAATGAGGCCGCATCGACTTGCAAGCTCCTCTGGAAAAAATGACAGCAGTCGTCGTAAGCGGACGTCCCCTTCTCTGTGTGGAATGAGTTCATCTCGTGTCTATGAGACACAAAAAAAAATTTTCATGGACCACTTTAAAATCTTCATGACTGATTTGAAGATGCAGTTCATTTTCATTCTTGAAACTTTACATGAAGTCATTTTATCCTGGGTACCACATTGAATCGTCGCAAAAAATTTCTCATGGATGCAGGGAACTATAATTATCTTGTTAATTACGTAAATCGATTCTTCAAAGGTACGACTTGTTGCGTTGTACTGTTGCAAGGTAAAGGGAGAAGAAAATCTCTTCTGGTCCTTCACTACCTATGTCTAGCACAAGTTTAGGTTAATCCGGTGCGTTACCTGAGATTCTTATTAATTCTAGTGCCCGGTGGGTTTTGTGTGTAAGTCCTCGATTTCTTGGTCAGCGCAACCTTCCAGAATTACTAATATATAATCTTATATGTCATAAAACTCAAGTTGTACAATTCTACTCATCTTTAGTATAACCAATTAATATTTACATTTCAATCTTTCATAGATACCATAACACCAAGTATGTCATTTTCATCTATTCATGTCATAAACCACAAGTTGTACATTCTTCCATATTTATGTCCATAACTCAACTTGTACATTTATCATCATATAAAAATCATAGTACAAATAACTCAAGTTGGTAATTCTTCATCTTAACTCCATAGTACCATATCAGTGTGTGTGTGTGTGTGTGTGTGTGTGTGTGTGTGTGTGTGTGTGTGTGTGTGTCCTCAGCTGAACTCCTGAGGATACTTCTTGTTGGGCTTCTCTCTTTTCTCCTTCCTGCCAACGTAAAGTGACAAATCAGCGCCTCACAGTTCCACCGTACAAAGATAAAGAAACTAATCACTGCTATTGGCGACTTCCGCTTTACAGAAGAGAGAAAAAGGACTAAAGGACGGGGAAAAGAGAGGGAGGGAAACACGAAGAAAGCTTTGTGCATTTCCTGTTCCTCTCTGCTTCCTGTAAGGATGCATCAGCTGTGAGGAGGAGGTGACTTCATGTCATCATGTGACAAACTCTATTATATTCATGCAATCTTGCAAAAATAGTAAACTCCAAATACATCTGAAGAAATGCAAATCATTATTTTCATTGGGTTGTGTTCAACTTGCTCAATAACACCATAGAGACCTAAGGGATGGGTGCATTATTGAGTCTAGTAAGTAGTTATTATGAAATATTTTTTCAGGTGTAATCACATTTATTTCCAAAAGAAAAATGACCGCACTGAGAATTATTCGTTTTTTTACTTTCTGGCAAACACATTTTGACATCAAGTGTTTTGTTTCTGCAAAAATTCCAAGTTAATTGATATATATATAGCTGTGAAACTGCACTTTTAAACACATGTTACCTGTTAGCTTTCCAATAAAGGATTTCTTTGAGTAAAGCGATTTGTTTTGACGAGAGGAAGATGAAAGGGAGGAGAGAGGAGCACCTGTAATATACAGTATGTGGTGCTGTGTTTCCTGCTCCCTGCACAGCTGGGAGAGCAGGTGCTATTAAAGCATCCTTATATCCTCTGGGGTTGATGTGAATCAGTCCAGGTCTGCGCAGTTTATTATTAGTTTGAAGGAGAGGTTAAATCGATCAGTTTGACAAGCTTAGCATTAAAGAGGCTTTTCCCTCTCCTTCATCACCAGGTAGGTCGACACGTACGAGGAGTTTGACTTGATGTTGTGGTGCGTACATAAAAGTAAAACAAAGATTAAAACACAGAGAGAGAACTAGAAAAATATTCTAAATAATAAAAAATATTGTAAAATATAACCCTCTTTACATTAGACATGGAATCAAAAGGAATCAAATATGGAATAAAATCAGCAGCAATAAAAAAAAGAAAACAGATATTGTTGTACATACTGTATATTATATAGGTTTTAGTGCATGTAAATGGTCTGCAAAGGCTACGATCCCAGTGTTCCCTCCAGAGGGAGTCTCCATCGGACTCCTTTGTTTACTTCAGGAACATAGTGACATCACTGTGTAACACTTTTTGCTCGCGCTCCAATACAGTGTACACATTTTCTCTCTTGCCTTCATCTCCTGCTCCACTAACCCCTCACCCTTATTCCACCTAGCTCAGCACTTTTCACTTCTGGTGTTACATTACATTGCATTTAGCTGAGGCTTTTATCCAAAGCGACTTACAATAAGTGCGTTCGACCAGGAAGATACAACCTTGAAGAAAACAGAATCATATAAGTACATCAGGTTTCATGGAGCCAAACATTTCAAGTGCTACTCAACTGACTTTAGAAAAGCCAGCCCTTTATTAGTATATAAGTGCTTTGTTAGTAATTCAATCGCTCGAAGTGGAGTCCAAAGAGATGAGTTTTCAGTCTGAAGAAGATGTGTAAGCTTTCTGCTGTCCTGATTTCAATGGGGAGCTCATTCCACCATTTTGGAGCCAGGATATCAACCCACGTGTTTTAGCTGATGGGAACTTGGGTCCACCTCGCAGTGCCGGGTTGGCAGCGAGCTGTTTGGGCTGATGCAGAGCGGAGTGTACGTGCTGGGTTAGCGGTTTAACCATGTCCTGGATGTAGGAAGGCCAGATCCATTCGCAGCATGGTAACGCAAGTACGCAGAGTCTTGAAGTGGATTCAGCAGTTTACTGGAAGCCATGAAGGGAGCGGGAGGAGCGGGCGTGGTGGTCTATTTCTCTACTTGGCTTTAACGCGCCTTGAGCTCCAGGCAAAGGCCAAGACAAGCAGACTTCAAGACAGTTTCTTCCCCTGAGCAATAATTGCAGCTAAAACTCCAGCTTGCACTGGGGGACACAATATATTTTAAGCAATAGCTCACGACAGGCCCGTGGTATTTGCTCATTATATCACAGCTAAGGGGCGTGGTTTCGGTCCCGACAGTTAATTCATTATTAATTATATAACACATTCAAACTTATTGATTTGTACTTAAACGGGATATAATTCCTGCACTTTAACGTTATCTGCATATTAGTCATAGAATGCTTGTTGTTTGTATGTTGTCTCCTTCTGGATGTTGCACGTCTCTTGTTTGTTTTTTATTTTTTGATGGGCACCTTAAAGAGAAAGGCCTATCTCATTGTATCTGTAATGACAATAAATGATTCTATTCTATACAACCACATGTATTATTGTTATTCCGCGGTGGAGCTGAAGCGGAGTCACCCACCTNCGGTCACATGGGTCAGCTATGACATTACATTACATTACATTGCATTTAGCTGACGCTTTTATCCAAAGCGACTTACAATAAGTGCATTCGACCAGGAAGATACATCTTCCTGGTCGAATGCACTTATTGTAAGTCGCTTTGGATAAAAGCGTCAGCTAAATGCAATGTAATGTAATGTAATGTCATAGCTGACCCATGTGACCGTCCAGGAAGTCCAGACTGGCTTTGATCAGGAGCAGAGTGTCTCGGAGCAGGCTGGTCTCAGTGCAGTCCATGTACTTGGAGCACTGGTCCAGATCCTGGATCACACTGGACACCCCACAAACCCTGCTCTTACAGTACAGCCACTCAGCACTGCCTGAAAAATGTAACACATTTATTTATTTATATTTATTTATTTATTTACTGAACTGGTTTGTACAAATTAGGAAGAAACAATACTGCTACTACTACTTGAAATGTGCATTTGTAAGTATTGAGAGTGAATACAAATGTTTAAATAAATATTTTCCTTTAGTACTATTACACCAAACTTTTTTTTATAATGACTCATTTTATTGAACCTGATCCTGTTTCTTTAATCTTCTTTATTTTGGTATTTAAAAAAATGAATAATGATTGTAGTTGAATTAAACCTGCTCCTATAGTTAAGCAATGGCAAATTATAGCAATGAAAGAAAGGTGTTTATACCGTATATTATTATATATAATATTATATAAGTATAGTGCTTTTATATTATTAGTGTATTACTTTTATCAATCATATCATTATGTTTTAGTGTTTATCATTTGTTTTATCATTTCAAACTGGGTTCGTGTTGTTTACTCAGTAGCTGTATGGAACAATACAACTAACACAATATTTGTATTTATACTGAGTCTCTTCCCAAATCTTACCAATGACTTCCTGTTGCAGCTCCTCCCACAGACCAGCATGCAGCAGGTGATAGGGCAACTCCTGGAGCTTTCTGATGTTGGCCAATCCTGGAGCAAACCACAGCGGCTGGGGTGGGACCTGACACCATAAAGCCAATCAAAATACACAATCGACAGTCGAAAAAACTTCTGCATAGGACGGTACAGAAAGGTCAAAGAAGGTCAGTGAAGTCAAAGACTGCTGCCGAAATAAAAATCCAAAACAACATTTCGTTCAAATAAAAAGCAGAGATAAATATTTATTTCATCTTCAGTACAATGACTTAATTTAGAAGCTAATCTATTTTGAGTCGTTTGTACCTTTCTATCAGAAAGGAGCAGCGACAGACCCTGGAGAGCCACAGGCTTCAGTTTCCCCGACCACCGACCGAGGAAGTACTCTGCCAGGATCCTGAGGCTCCGCCCACGGCGCTCTGATGTCAAATAACGAGTTGAAACTGCCTCACACAGACGCCTTCACATGCGCGCACACACATACACACATACACACACAAACACACACACATTAAAAATGTTCCCTTGAGCCATGTGAACCTTTATCAGATTTATTTTTCTTCACCAGTGTTTGAAGGCGATGGCAGCGACCCCCCTCGTCCAGCGCTCTTCCAGGTGATCCTCGAGGTCGTGTCTGAGTCGAGCCCAGAGGAGAGGGGGCAGCCGGATTAACGTGGTGGATGGAGGTAGGGAGTACTTGTACACCTCACTGATGATGTCATCATCGAGAGACATGACGTCACGTAGTTCAGCTTCCAGCACACCTTCCCTGAGGAGTTAGTTTTATTGTTTTTAGTCTAGCAAGGTTCCATATATTGAAATGACTTAATATCATTACTGTTAGTGTTGATGTTTTTTACTACTAAGGTACACATGATAAGGTTTAATATATCTCACTTCTACATAAATGCGACTTCAACTGGATGAATAATTGGATATGCATTCCTTCTCATTTAAATTCAACATGCCTTTTAACTAATTGCTATAGATAATTATTACAAAAATAACAAAAAGGCCCCTTTTTGCTGAACAATGATGACATTTGCAGATGCATTTCATTTAAATTAATTCACACTGTACTATGGTTAATATATAAATGTGCCTCCAAACCTTTTCCTCGGATGTTATTCTGATTACGGATACTGGATAGTATGAAAATGTAAACATTTCGGTGTCTTTATTGTGTGCCCTGTGTTTGCAGGACACTATTACATTACATTTTACATTACATTGCATTTAGCTGACGCTTTTATCCAAAGCAACTTACAATAAGTACATTCGACCAGGAAGATACAAACTTGAAGAAAACAGAATCATATAAGTACATCAGGTTTCATAGAGCCAAACATTTCAAGTGCTACTCAACAGGCTATAGATAAGCCAGCCCTTTATTAGTATATAAGTGCTCTGTTAGCAGTTCTTTGTTAATAATTATATCGCTTCGAAGTGGAGTCGAAAGAGATGAGTTTTCAGTCTGCGCTGGAAGATGTGCAAGCTATCTGCTTTCCTGATTTCAATGGGGAGCTCATTCCACCATTTTGGAGCCAGGATAGCAAACCCACGTATTTTTGCTGATGGGAACTTGGTTCCCCCTCGCAGTGCGGGTGCAGCGAGCCGTTTGGCCGATGCAGAGCGGAGTGCACGTGCTGGGGTGTACGGTTTAACCATGTCCTGGATGTAGGAAGGGCCAGATCCATTCGCAGCATGGTACGCAAGTACCAGTGTCTTGAAGTGGATTCTAGCAGTTACTGGAAGCCAAGTGAAGTGAGCGGGAGGAGCGGTGTGGTGTGGGAGAAATTTTGGAAGGTTGAAGACCAGAAGAGCCGCTGCATTCTGGATGAGCTGCAGATGTTGATGGCACATGCAGGTAGGCCAGCCAGGAGGGAGTTCAGTACGTCTAGGCGTGACGGGGTGACGAGAGCCTGGGCCAGAATCTGCAATCGCTTTCTGGGTCAAGCTGGGGACGTATTCTTCCTGATGTTTGGTAAAGAGTGTATCTGCAGCAGCGAGTTGTAGCAGGCGACTGTTTGCAGTGAAGGACAGTTTGTTTATCTAGGGTCACACCAGACTTCTTGCAGTCTGAGTGGCAACGAGTGTAGATGATTATTATTGGTCAAGAGTGGCGACAATTTTTTCCCGCGAAGGAAAAGCCAGTCAAGTCTTGGTCAAGTTGAGCTTGACGTGGTGAGCAGACATCCACGAGAAGATGTCTGCTGAAAAGCAGAATGCGTGGCGACGGACCGCTGGGACCGCGGGTCTTCTGAGCGGGGAAAGGATCAGAATTAATTTGGTGTCCTCAGCGTTAGGCAGTGGTTATGAAACCATGCGGCGCTAATGAACTGATCGAGCGAGTTTGTGTACAGGAGAAGAGGAGGGACCAAGAACCAGAGCACTGGAGCGGACCCTGGGTAGTTATTGACAAGGGTCACTCCGACCTTCTCCAAGTAACCCTGTAGGTACGGTCTTTTGAGTATTGAGTGGAGAAAGTGCAGGCAAACCAAGTATCTTGCGAGAGTGCGGACGAGAGCGATCTGATGCGTTACCCGGTGTCGGAATGGCAGCGGACGTCTCCAGAAGGCATGATGACAGCAGGAGAGGGAGGCTGCTTTAGCAGTGCTGCTGCAGTTCCTCAGGAGACAGGCATAAGGAGAGCCGTGTTCTGTTGGTGACCTGCCTTGGAACGCCGAGGACCTGGTGCGGGGATCCAGCAAAGTTCGTTCTGATGCGTAACAGGGAGTGTTCAAAGGACAAGCAGCCGTTCACAGTGTTTAGACAGAACTGGGGGAGGAGAGACAGGCACCTGGTAGTTTTAACATCAGACGGGTTTGGGAGTGCGGTTTCTTTAGGGGCGGTTCTTACTCTTGCCCTCTTGGACTGTTTGGAAAGTGACAGCAGTTCGGAAGTGTTGATGAAGTGGGTGGAGAAACGGTAGAATGATCAGTGCCGATAGTGTCTGAAGTAGGTTTGGAGGGCATAGGATCCAGAGACAAAGGTGGGGTTGTTGTGTTGACGTGTCCATTGGATTTTGGTAATGAGACGCTAGAACCTCCTTGCGACCGATGAGAGGGCGAAAAGGAGTTCATGCTGGGGTGTAAAGGCGGTCTGGGTTAGCCCAGCCGCCGTGAGTAACGGTGCAGCTCAGAAAAAGAAGGAAATATCATCAACCTTTTTTTCAAGTAGTTAACAAAGGCCAGCTTGACGAAGGAGAGGATGGGGGGGGAGGTCTCTTGGGCGGGGTCCAAGAGGGGCTGAAGAAAGATGGAAATAAGTTTTTCGCCGGATTGGAATAGCGGAAGTTGGTCTTATCTTGGAAAGAAAAGCTGCTTTTTGCCTGATGGAGCATCGAAGCGGCAGAAAGGGGGAGGGAGAGACCTGATTAGGTTAGAGAGGCTCGCTCATCGGTGTTTGGATTTCCACCATTTTCGCTCTGCTGCCCCGAAGGGATGGCTTCTATTAGCACGCAGCTGCATAATTGTAGCAGGAGCAGGAGGACTGACGAGCCTGCCCAGAGATGTGAGAAGGACCAGAGGAGAGTCCAGAGAAAGATGAATAGGTATTTGAGGAGGAGAAGTTTCTGGTGCAAGTTTGAGGAAGGATGTTGGAACGAGTCAAAAGGAAGGGAGGTGAGAGACCGATGAGGCAAGGGTAGAGGAGGACAGGAACAAAGTTGGCGGCGGACACGGTGCAGAGTTTAAAAGAGCATTAGTAACTTTGTTATGTTTGGAAAGGGGTTAGAGAGGAATGAAAGAAGAAGTGATCGGATGTGTAGGAGCGGGTTTACAGAGAGAGTTATAGCAGTGCAGTTCCTTGAGCAATATTAGATCAAGGGACATTGCCGCTTGTATGGTTATGGTGGGGATGGAGACAGTGAGAAGCAAACAGCATGTTAGAGAATGTTAGTTTGTCATATCTTCCCTGTCTGGAGGTTGAGTTCCGTAGAAGTACAGCGGGATCGAGGGCCAGTTTCAGAGGATTGTGGTGAGAAGGAGGAATGATCTCAAGTCCTCCAAGAAGTCCCAAGGCGCTGGTGGACAGTAGAGAACAACAATGGTTCATCTGTATATAGGAATGGGTTACTGTGAGGCATGGAATTCAACAGGTGGCAAGGAGTGCAGTAGTTAGCTTGAGAGGGAAAGTCCCTTTTTGGGAGAGAGAGCGAGACCAGTGCCACCTCCTCTGCGAGGATCTGGGTGTGTCGGGTGAGAGGAAATATGCTGTGGAGAGAAGCTGGGCTGGGTGGATGTTTGATGAGTCATCAGGGTCTCAGTAAGCAAGGAAATCCGGGACTGCAGGGAAGCGTAGCCAGAGATGAAGTTCAGCCTTAGGAACAGCTGACTGGCAGTTTCCACAGGCCCTGAAATAGATGTTGGATCTCGAGTGGAGCATGTGGGCATAAGCGAGACGACAGGCCGTCTATATCGATTAGGATGATGTACCACGGGGTAGCCAGTGTATTGCGAGAAGGCACATGAACAGGAATGAAGAATATACACATGTTATAGCATGAGGGGCTTGAAAAACTAAGAAAACTACAAATAAAACCGTCAGCGAATACTTAGACTCAATCCAAAGAGATTTGCCTCCTCTTTGCCTCTCGTGGAGTCCCGCAGGACTCCCAATTTTTTTGTCAAGTCTTTGACTCCCGCAGGACTCCCAATGTCTTTGTCGAGCTCTTAAGTCTGGGCTGACGCTCTTAGGAAAGAGCTACCCTAAAATGGTGACCCTGATTGCTCAGGGTTTTCACAGCTGTGGGGCCACGCCCCTACTGAATTAGTTAACTCTCTTCAGATGACTGGGCGACAGCAGAGTCTTCTGCCTATTGTATGCGAGGGTTGAGACAGTGACCACTAGAGACCTGGTAACAGGTATCTCTTGAGCAGATCTGAGATTTAAAATATCACAAAAGCCCAGTTAGTCGACTTAATGGTTCTCCCCAATGATTAACAAATAATTAGGTCCATTCAGCATTAAAATAGCTTCACTTTTATCATATTTTCTAAAGAAGTAACGCCTTCCAATTCCATCATAAGTGCCACACCCTTCGACACAACTTCACCAATCATGTACCAATTATGTCTTAAAGTGTTATTGTTATCTGCAAAAAACACATCTCTGTTATTTAAAGGTCCATGGTCATGCTTTTTCTGGTTATCCGTCTCCTTCTGTGTTTGAAGTTTTTTGCATAGTCAACGGTCTGCAGATGTCACAAACCGTCAAAGTACACCCTGTACGAGTAAACTCTAACACCAGAAGACCTCCCTCCAAAACGCCTCGTTGGAGATACGTCCTGTCCATGATATTCTTCGGGTACGCATGATGTCAACCGTACTCCCGACGAAATGAGCCTCAATCCCGGTGGTCGTTACTGCCCTCGGAGTTGTTGATTTAGCTCCCCCTGATTGGTTCAATAGATCTGACCCGCCAAGTTAATTTTTTACTCTGTGAGGGGCTGTGTGGGTTGGTGTGTTCTTTTGGGCAGCTCTGATACAATTGGTGGTGTCGCGTAAAATTCCTCTGCAGACGCTATCTCCCGCTTATCACCTTTTTCTATTCAATATTCAGCAACTATTGTTTTACTT